GGTTGAGTTAGTTTATAACAAATACCATCATTTTTTATGGGATCTGTTCATATAATATCAACAAGATTGTAGACATTAGTAACATGAGCTAGCTTTCTGCATCAATTTCTTCATGAGCTAGCTTTCTGCTGTTCCAACTTCTGTGCCCCATGCACAGGGTCAAAGAGGGAGTAGAGTTGCCGAAGACATAAAAGAATCAGGCTCCACAACAACAAGGTATCGATAGCTATATCAAAAGATCAAGGAATGAATAATACCATCAAGTCCTCAAATTGTAGAAGGTACCAAGCTCGGATTGTGTACTCTACTCTCTTGCAGAGCTTCAAAAACTCAGCTCGGTCGGAACTATGTTCTGCATATATTACCCAAAAGACTCAAGCACAAAGAGAACAGCAACTTCGAAGGGAGAAAAAACATATGCTATATTTCTTTGTCTAAATTAATTAAAGAAAAAAACTACAGAATTTGAACTCCATAAAAGAACTATTGAACTAAATACAGATTTTTATGAGTCCAGAACAAAAATGTAATTAAATTTGTCATTAAATCAAATCCGAAGCATTCAACTCTTGAGTCCAAATAGTTACATAGCTCTAGCATTCCACTCATCAAAGCAGTAACAGCTCTTACCTTATGAATTTTTTTGAATATTTGGAAGGCCACTCATCTCATCCTCATCATTTACAGCAGACCTACATGCACATTTATATCATTACAACAACCAGAGAAGGTACTTAATAATATTCTAGATCTCTGTTCCATCTCAGGTTCCGCGGCCCAAGTTAAGAATGACACAACATCTTTCCCCATCTGAGCTTCTGTAGCAGGCGTACCATCTTCATATTCAACAGCACCATCATTAAGCAAGCATTTTAGGCATGGCAATTGCTCCACCAGGAAAATAAGGATTATAGTGAAGTCCCTCTCTAATCGAAACACCCAGCAGGAGGGTCACGATAACCGGTTAGAAGGGCAAATAAATACATATAGTTCTGACCATTGTGACGGGCTTTGGTAATAAGACTTAGATCTGGGGGATAAGCTCCTCCATTAGCAAACCTAGCAGCTGATTCATTTGCATATGGCTGAGGAAAACGATCGCTGAGTTTACCAGGGCGGGTAAACATCTCACCCTCATCATTAGGGCCATCAACCACCTCAATCTCAGCTGCCATAGCCTTTACCTCATCTTCTGTATAAGCGACACCAACCAAATCACGGTACGATATCAAAGACATAGAATGGCAGGAAGCACAGACTTGTGTATAAACTTGATGACCACGACGAATCGAAGCATGATCATATGAACTGAGGATGCCCTTGTGAGGCCATGGATACATGCCAGGCCATGCTCGGCTTCATCAGCTGATGCTGTTGTTGCAAAACTCAAAATCCCTGACACACCAGCTCCAATTAATGCAAGTGCTCTTAAGGACCTGCTGCCAGTAGAGCCAGCATCATCTTTCTTTGCTATGATGGATGACAAAAAGGAAGGGTTAGTAGAATGAGGCTGGAGTTTCCTCCTCAATAACTGCTGAATAATACCTCCAGCCATCTCAGTCCACAGAAATGGAAGCGAAGACGAAGCTTGAATGGTCAAAGGGCACAATAGCTCTGCACCCGTTGCGTTTTTATGTCCCACATCGACAAGCTTTCAAAACTTTTAGTATTATAAGATTTGTGTATAATCGAAAGAAAGTCAATTATATTTTGATTTGTTTTATCAGTTCTTTCTTTATTTGATTCATTATTGTACTCAACGTTGGCAACTAAACACGAGGGTTGCGCTCGTTGCGGGACTTAACCCAACACCTTACGGCACGAGCTGACGACAGCCATGCACCACCTGTGTTCGCGTTCCCGAAGGCACCCCTCTCTTTCAAGAGGATTCGCGGCATGTCAAGCCCTGGTAAGGACCACCGCGGCTCCTCTCTTCTCGAGAATTCATACATCCCTTATCAGTATATGGACAGCTATTTCTCGAGCACAGGTTTAGGTTCGGCCTCAATGGAAAAAAAAACGGAGCACCTAACAACGTATCTTCACACTCACAAAAGTATACGGTTAAAGATTACTAACCTGGTAGCGCTTGCTTATAACCCGAGCGGGAGTAATCGTGTTGGACTAACCTGGTAGCGCTTGCTTATAACCCGAGCGGGAGTAATCGTGTTGGACTATTATTGACCGCGATAATGCGTCCAGCTGTCAGAGAGCCATTGCTAACCGCGACCGCCTACGGTGCAGTGTGCCTTCTCTGATTTTGCTTGTGATTGACTTATCAGAGCAACGGGCGCGCAAAGTCCTCGAGAACCCTCCAACACAGTTGTTTTTTTGTCCTTACGATGAATTCAAAGGCTTTTGTATAAATTGATCCGAAAACTTGTGAATGTGCGTTGCTTAATGGCTCAGATTTTCCTTATGTATCTCGGGATGGTGGCAGGTTAGAAACTTGATTGGTGAAATGGCATTTAAATTTTGTTTGCTGTAATATTTGATGTGGTTGCTTTTATGTATAAATTGACAGGTTAGTTGAAGCCAAAGATGTAGTTTTTGAATGTGGCCCCAAATGTGGTTGTGGTCCTGGTTGTGTGAACCGAACTTCTCAAAGAGGACTTAGATATCGTTTGGAGGTAGCACATTGTATTGGTATCCTAAGATCTTTAGATTATTAAGATAACTATACTGAGTTTTTAATTTTGTTTATTCAACTAAATTGTTACATAGGTTTTCCGTACTGCGAAGAAAGGATGGGCCGTTAGATCTTGGGATTTTATACCTTCTGGAGCCCCAGTTTGTGAGTACACAGGAATACTTGCTAGGACGGAAGATATGGAAAGTGTATTGGAAAACAATTATATTTTTGACATAGATTGCTTGCAAACATTCAAGGGGCTTGGTGGAAGAGAGGTATTGAATCCTTTGAAACCTTATCATGTGATTATATTTTTCTCAGCTACTTCAGCTAAATGTTTAGAACTTTTCTCGTCTCTTTGGTGACATTAATTTTGACAGAGGCGGTCAAATAATGTAGCATTTCCTGCAAATCTTTTGGACAAATGCGATGACCAAGGTTCTGAAAGTGTGCCGGAGTTTTGTATTGATGCAGGATCTACTGGAAATATTGCTAGGTTTATAAACCATTGTTGCGAGCCTAATCTATTTGTTCAATGTGTTTTGAGCACACACCATGATTCGAAATTGGCTCGAGTAGTGTTGTTTGCTTCCGACTTTGCAGGTAACTCATTTTCTATATTCCCCCGATTTGTCTTCTTGGGGATGTTGTTAACATATTGGGGTTGGGGATGTGGCCGAAAAATTAACATGTTTGCTGATATTTGTTATTGATAATTATGGTGGTAGCTATGTCAACTCACTTTAGACTGTTGAAATTTATTTTATAGCCATGCTTATTTTCTTACTTCTGTTACCTATTGTTTCTGGGATGTTTCATGAATTAGATTTTGGGAGGATTTGTGGGTAATAGATATACCTTCTTTATTCTCTTTCTTTTTTATATCATTTGCACCCCTATATATGTGACTAGTGGACGTCACAGTGTGAAAATGGAAGTGTAAGGGTGGGCCTACTTCCAATCCTGCAAAGTCTGAGAGTCTTGTGTACTGGTGTTTTCTCTTTTGGGGTTTTATTCTGAAGTCTTTGATAAATGTTTTGAATCTCTTTGATTTCTTGCAGGAGCTGACATATGACTATGGCTATGCGCTTGATAGTGTCTTTGACTCCAATGGGAAGATAAAGCAAATGCCATGCTACTGTGGAGCCCCAGGCTGCAGGAAGCGATTGTTCTAAGTGTGTTAGTTGGTCCTTTTTTATGAATGTTGTATGGGTGTTGTACGTGGTCTTTTTGCAAAACTAGAGGTCGTATTTTTCCTAAAACTTTCGCTCAAATCCATACATGATTGATTTGTTGTATCTGTAAATGATACCAAAAATGACAATACAAGTTTTGATGCAAGTCCAAAAGGATGAAATAGATTTTTTTATTTTTTTTTTGTTTGCTGGAAATAGCCTGCTTTATTGAATACTGCGAGTTTATTGATTTTCGGGTCCAAAAGAAATAAAACGAAAACACCCAAGTATAGGACACATCAAATCGGCAAGAGCAAAAGAATCCATTACAGGAGGATGAGTTTCCTACTTGGTATCCCAACTATCTTCCTCGCCAAAATTAACAATGTTTCTAATTACAGATTTTCAACCTTGCTTATAACTTTTACATATAATTAATTTTTTCACTACTTAACTATTTACGAGATTTGAAATGCCTTTACACTGAAGTAAAATGTCGGAGCTTATAATTCTCATCGTAACATGAACTGCGTTTCGCATATTAATTATTACACAAGCAGAGCCAAAAATTAAGGTACCGGAATACGAGGGAGAAAAGTACGTATTACGCACATTAGAAAGTTAACATAATTAAAATTACGCACAACAAATATTCTCTTAAAAATGTTTTGAAGATTGAGTTTTGCATTTGTCATGTTGGATGACAAAAGTTGAATTTCTTACAAATATATAGATACTTGTGTTACATTTTTTTTTCTTTTCTTTTTATTTTAAAAATTATGGACCTCACAATGATTGTCTCTATAGCATTATTATTATATAAGGATTGACATGCATCATGATCAATGTTATTAAACCCAGTATTTAAAAACCCGGCTCGACTATTGACGCAGTTAAGGTCAGGGGTCACGGGTCACGGGTTCGACCAGAGGGTCACGAGATCACTTCGCTGATCCAATTTTATACATTAAAAAAATAAAAACATATATTCTGTAAGAAAAATTGAAAATAATCAAACCACCGATCATTAAAGATTCAAAATATACTTAATATAATTCAACCAATTACATCTGCAAGTCAATATTCACAAGTTAATCAAAATATCAAAGTATAAAACACATTCAATGGAGTTAATGAAAAGTTATATCATTAAACTCAGGCTCTTGTCATTCTTATGCACCTACAACATCCCTTACCCAATAGAGAATAGTGGAGGAGAAGCGGCCACACGACAAATTAATAGTGGGGAGAGAAGAACCAGTACGATGGAGGATATCTCCGGATCTGGGAGACTGAGTCTAGGTCTGGGCGTGAAGAGTGGACAATGCATCATGCCTAGCCTACCTATACTAAGAAATTCTACAAAGAAAATGGGGAGCGGCGATGATCAAACCCAAGACGTTGAAGCTCTGATACCATGTAAAGAACCAATTCATCCAAAAGTTTAAGCTGGTGGGTGAGGGCTTTTTAATGGGTTATACTATTCTCTAACATTTTGTTTTGTTTTGTTTTTTACACATCAAACAATGTTATTTTGTGTATAATTTTTTTTTTTTAAAATGCAATGACCCCTTTGACCACGATGTGACGGGTTCAACCGGAGGGTTTCGGGGGTTAGAGGGGTCAACGTGCAAGTAGGGTCTAACTACTAATCCAAACCCTTAGAGAGACGGGGTCAGTGACCCGGCGAGGTCGACCCCGATGTGGGGTAAGGTTTTAAAACACTGATTAATCCCAACCTAATTATTGATCCGATCGAGGTACGAGGTCACTTGATCATTGGTTCAACCAGTGGATCACTGGTTCAACCACATGACCTGGTAAGTATATGTAAATCTATAATTTATATTTAAAAAGTTATAAATATACTCAAATACATGTAAAAAGTGATACCAAATCCAAATATTTTAAGGGGAAAATTATACTTACTACTTTTTTTTCTTACTATCTCTTATTACCAAATCTTAACCGTCGATTTCCGTCAATTTAACGGTTATAATTTATTGAAAATTAATAATTAATAAATAAGTATAACCTAATAGATTATAACTATTAGATTGACGAAAATCATCGGTTAAAATTTGATAGTAAAGGATAGTAAAAGAAAAAGTAGTAAGTATAACCTATATGAAAAACAATAAATTACACATCGTTATCCAACAAAAGATCAATCAAATATATAATACTTGTGATACTGATGCGATGCTTCAGGTTCAATAGACGACGCTTCAGGTTCAATAGAGGACATCTCTAACTATAAATCAAATCAAAATTCCATGTATATTGTATAATCAAGATAATATTAGTATTATAGGTACATAATCTATGTAACAGATTGCTTAAATATTTCAAAAGAAAACAAATTATTTGTGTGTGAAAAAAAAAAAAAAAAACATCAATTGATAAGAACAAATAATTTTTTTTTTTATAAAACCGGACCAGGCACTGAGCCACCAATTTTTACAAAAAGGTTCAATGACATGACCGATCAAATATAAAAATCGAACCGGGTATATGATCGATTCACTGGCTTTCAGATCAACCTGGCCAGATCGATCATGTTTTTATAACACTGATCATGATGGTCGTTTCTCCCTTTGAAGATTATTAAAAAAATGTAAAAATAGCAATTGACTGCTGCTTTCCGTTCGGGGCTTCATAAATTTTTTTCAGTACATCTTAATCTCCACACAAATTATTATGCTTGATTTGAAGTTTATACCTACTGCAGTTCAAGAAACTAATACAGCGAAATGAAAATCTGGGTACATCATGATGTAGTTCATAAATTAATAGAAGGGAGCACTAGTCTGAGATGACCCTAAAAAAAAAGGGTTGTAGTCAGAAGTCCCATTTTGGCTAATTTTGCTGAGTCTAGGAACTCATTACCCTGTTACACAATAGGCTCCTCCAAGTCCTCCTGGGTTTTCTTCCTAAACTGACGATTTAACCTCGGCAAGCCCTTCTTAGTGTCCTCAGTAACCTCTGGTTCATCCTCCTCCATTGCACAAACATCATTATTTTGTGTGTCACCAGCAGCTATTCTAACAGTGAAAGCTCTTTTATTCATGGGCTCCTTGTCAACATCAAGCTTTTGCTTTGACACCATCTCATTCTCTCCCGTAGTGGCATCATCACCAGATTTCTTCTTCGGTATAAAGGTAACTGATGGATGATCCAAAGCATCATCTGCATGCGATCCAGTTCCCGTGGCAGCAGCATTTGACCCCTTTAAGCATTCAAGGAAGCTCATATATGCTTCTGTATTTGATTTGTCATCCATGTCACTTGTAGAATCAAAAGTATAATGTGTGTATCTTGAAGGATTACGAATATAATCCGGAACTGCTGAAGCAAATTCCTGTGACTTAGATAACTGATTTGAAGCTGCAATCTCTTCCATTGAAGGAGTCTTCATGCGAACATCCCTGGTTCCTTCATTCTCATCATCATTACCTCTATCATCACATTCAGAATCAAACCGAACACGCTTCTTGGACCTGGTTTCCGAAGGATGATTCTCTTTATTCTTCAAAATTGACTTGGGGTTAATAACACCACCACCACCACCACCAGTGTCAGGTGTAGATTTCTCGGAGACATGCAAAGCATCAATTTTTTTAGCTGCTTCATCATCCTGCTTAAGCCTAATCCTAGCAGCCAAGTGATTTGCACGTGGGTCTCTCATAAAATCTTTGAACATAGTGGGAATTTCACTGCAAGAACTCATCTCAACCCCATCGTCATTTATATCCTTCATATAAACGCGATCCCCCGAATTCTCTTTGCCAATAGCCTGTTTGTCATACCGATCTTCCTCTTCCTGCATAAAGTGATTCAGTCAAGTTCTTTTTTTTTTTAAAAACAAAAAAATCTAAATTTTGAGGATTAAAAACTTAAAACAAATATAAACAATAACAAAAACAAAGAAGCACAAAATCAATTGTTGATAGTGTTCACTAGTTAAATTGTTGACTGCAAGAAGGAAAAAATGATTGAATCATTGAATTTTGATTACTATACAAAGTTGAGTGAAGTTGGCACAATTCGAATTTTAAATATATAATCTTAGTTCATCACCATCATAATAGACTCTTCAATTTATTTGCAATTGTGATCTTCCTCTTGCTGCATAAGGTGATTGAGTCAAGTGTGTCTGTGTGTGTGTTTTATTCAAGAACTTCGAGAACAACGACAACAACAACAAGAAGAAAAAGCATAAAGGGAAAAAAAACCCATCAGCTAAATTATTGATTCGAATGCACTTTTAACACAAAGAAAATTCAATAAGGGTCGTCTAATTTTTTGAGTGAAGTGGGTTGAATTCGAATTTGAATTATACTATATTCCTCAGCATAATAATAATAATAATTAGAGATTATTGGAAAAAAGATAAAAGGGAATGAAAAGTACCTCGTAATCAAGGGTGCAATCGAGGCCAATACCAGACCTAATTTCCCACTGTTCATCATCGTAATCGGGTGGCTTAGAGGGTCCACGCACGTCTTCTTCATCGTCATTGTTGTTTAGGTTTTCTAGGTCATTCTCCAGCTCAACCCTAAATTGGGAAGAGGAATAGGGTTTGGGTTTGGGTTTGGATTGGGATTGATGGACGCGTTTGGAGGAGGGAGTGTCGTTTATCTCGTCTTGGGTGAGAGACCAAAGAGAGTTGAGAGAAGAAGAAGGGATAGGAAGAGAACCGAAGGCTTTTTCAACTCGTACTTTGAAACTGTCTTCCATGTTATGTTTATTCTTCTTCCTAATGGCTGCCGTTGTAGCAGCAGATGCAATTCTTATTTGTAGCAAAAATCAAGACAAGGGCATTATGGGAATTTCCTGACCAATTCATGGATTAATCTATTAATTTAATTTAATTTAATCATATACGAGATATGATCATCTTATATCGGTGTAAGAATAATAACTCTTACATCAAATCTTAACCATTCATTTTCTGCATCTAATAAATAAGATTTATTAGGTCTCACTCATTAATTAATTTTTAATTCTCAATAAATATTAATCATTATATGCACGAAAATCACTAATTAAAATTTAGTGTAAGATTTATTATTATTACAAGTTTATCCTATCCCATCATATATTTATCAAAATTTTATCACAAATATGTATGTAAGACTCAAACTCGGAACCTATTAATCAATGTGAAATAACCCACAGCCAGTTAATTTAACTGTTCGCTGATGATTTTTTTTTTTTACTTCTAGCATTGGGGAACATTTTATTTTTTTCCTCTCTGATATATTATTTTTTTTCTCGTTAGGGGAAATTAAACGAAAAATAGTTTTTTAATATATTGTTTTTTCCTAGGATATTATATAGTAAGGGTTCTACTTGTTTGAGATAATTTCAATTATATATAAATAAATTAACGATTATTCCATGTTTCAATTTTAATATAGTTTTTTTAAATGATTTAATAATGTTAAGTGAAAATGAAAGGATTAATTTCTTATAAAAATTTATGAACCGCAAGAATAACATAAAGTGACATATCATGTCGCAAAATAAAAGAGACATAATTATTTTCAATAATATAGAAAAATAAAATATCATATTGTTGTTGTCTTCAATACAAAGTAGAGACTAGAGCAATGTTTATTAAGTCGTTTAATGGTTCGAGCTGGATCGAGTTTTGGTTTTAAAGAATTAAGTGTATGTTTAAATGTGTCAGTCAGATCTAGTTTGTTACTTATTAGGAATATAATTATCAGCAGATGGTCTTATTTATTTATAAAAAATAAAAGTATGGTTTAGCTTGTTAAAAAAAAGGGTAGGATATTGTAACAATCAATTAGAGTTACTACCAATCAATTTCACCGTTAGATCGATTATATTGATCCAACGATTATATTTATTTTTATCTTTGTATGATTATGATTCTCAATATTTAATATAATGTGAAAGCATTAAATATGAAAAATCATAACCATACAAAGTTGAAAATAAATATAAAGTTATGGAAAATCATAACCATGCAAAGTTGAAAATAAATATAAAGTATTAAATATGAGGAATCATAACCATATAAAATTAAAAATAAATATAGCCGTTGGATCAATATAATCGTCTAATGATGAAATTGATTGATAGTAGTAATTCTGACCGGTTGTTACAATATCCTATTCCCTTAAAATTAGTGAAAACAAATAAAATATAAAAAATAAACCATTTTTTTTAAAATCAACTGATTCTATAAAATAAGGGAAACGTGAGGAGTGAGTGGGTACAAAGGTTGATGGGGAAACAACACAGAATGTGGTACCTGGTTATTAAGTACGGAGGAAGGCATGCGATTAATGAGATAACAAGCTGTAAGGACAGCATTGCCCCAATACTGGAAGGGGATATGACCATGTAACAAAAGTGTCCGAGTAGTTTCAATGAGGTGACGGTTCTTGCGTTCAGCAACCCTATTTTGTTGAGGGGTGTGTGAACATGATGTCTGGTGAAGGATGCCGTGAGATGCAAAGAAGGTTTGAAACTAATGAGACAAATATTCACGAGCATTATCACTTCGAAAAATGTGAATCGAAACACCAAATTGAGTAAGGATTTCATTAAAGAACTTGTTAAAGATGGAAAACAATTCAGACCGATTTTTCATTAAAAACAACCAAGTACATAGAGAATAATCATCAATAAAAGTTACAAAATATCTGTACCCCATAGTGGAAACGGTACGACTAGGACCCCAAATATCTGAATGAACTAAAGCAAAAGGAGACGAAGACCGACGACTGACACGATCGGGAAACGAACTACGAGTGTGCTTCCCTAACTGACATGACTCTCGAGACAAACTAGATAAATTTGAGAAACGTGGAACCATCTTCTGGAGCTTAGCAAGACTCGGATGACCCAATACAAATCCAATAAAAAAAAAAGACATCAATTCATTTCGTGTGTAAAATAGAATCCAAATAAAAAAAAATATATCATCCCTAACAAGGCTCCTTCTTTCTTTTTTTTTTAGGGTAAAGATTCCGACGAACAAAGAAAAAAAGGGAATTTTTGATTGCATCAGAAATAAATTTTTTTTAATATAGTATGGAGGAAATATCTTCTTAATAGCTCGGATATTGTTATTCGTGATATTGATCCGATTTGATATTGATAGCATGGAAACGTAATTTATTATACCATTGAATTTACCAACGAAAGATGTATCATCTCTATGGGATTAAATCCCGAATTCTTTATTCGAAATAAAAGAGAAATAAAACATAGAGATTATGGAAGTCAATATTCTCGCATTTATTGCTACTGCACTGTTCATTCTAGTTCCTACTGCCTTTTTACTTATAATTTATGTAAAAACGGTAAGCCAAAGTGAGTAATTTTACTTCAACACGACTTATTCATTCTTATCCATGCAATGATTGAATAAAAAAGGATTTGAATTTTTGGCCTTAGTCTTAGATAAAATGATCTGACTAGAATCAACAGATTTCTATGAAATCCGGATAATATGGTAGAAAGAAATAAAATCTATTTCTTTCTACCATCTGAAATAATCAAAAAGCAACTCTTATTCTTCCAATTTGAGTTTTTATATTTCATATTTTTTTTCCACAATCATAATATCATAGAAAAAGAAATATATATATATCATATTTATGAAAAATATCTCTATCATTCGGAAGAAGTAATTGAGTAAATAGTTGAAAGACGATCGGAAGGTTCTATGAGATACTTTTTCATATTTCAGGAAGTTAAAAACCAACCCATTTTTGGACGTTTCAGCCATGATCTGCAATGAGTTCAATAAAGTGGAAATCAAATTTCGAACTAAAAAGACAAATAATAAAATAAAACAAACGATATGGTAAATACGTAATATGGTATTAGTCCCAAGGAATAACATTATTTTATTATGTGTAGTATCTCATTAGACACTTCCTGCGTCGATTTACTATACAAATTTTGTATCCGTTTAATAGTATAGAACTATTTTTTTTTTTTTTTTTTTTTTTTGAAAAAATAAAGAAGGGGACAAAAAAATAGAATAGGGGTAGGGGTTCCGCGGTTCCTTATTTTCCATATATAACTTTGGAAAAAGCCAGTTCATCGAGATATAAATCTTAAAAAGATTTCGGTTGGAATGGAATACAAGTAATACGAACCGATTTGTATTCCATTTCCTTTGAAAATATGAACACGGGAATATAATAATTAAAGAAAGATTTGTTTGATTGAAAGAGTATTTTATATTTCTATATTATCCGTAGAGTGCATTATACCACTAGAATACAATAGAATTAGGAAATGCAGATCGATTTCCATTCCATTAATTAGTATAATTCGTACTAATTAACATACTTAAAAAAAATGAGAATCAGGCCTAAAAAACAATTGATACAGGTTGTGATCCCTTAACTTAATTAGTAGTACCCCTAAAGTCCACTCCTTCCCCAAACTACGAGTGCAATGGAAAATGTAAAAAGTACCATTAAAGCAGCCCAAGCAAGACTTATTAGATCCATGTAAATTTTGTCTCCTATCTCTATCAATATGAAGGAATTTTTTCATTATTGTTCACTTCTTCTTGTATTCTTTTTTGTTTTATAATTCACTCAATATGAAATACTTTATTATATTCAAATACTTTCATATAATAATAGTAGAATCGCTGGTACAGAGTCAAACAAAAATAGGGTTATGGTCGAACACGATTGACGAAAGAATCCAAAAAATCAAATTAGAACATCGAACACGTTTTTATCCGATTCTACTAGAATCGGATAAAATTCATAAACATAAACAAAATATCTGGAGACATCCTTCAAAGTATTAAGTTAATGGATATTACTAACAGGTAGGAATAATCAAATAAGACCTATGTTTTTTTATCCCCCATTTCATTCAGTAATTTCATTAAGTAAAAAATCGAAAATCTAGAAATAGAATTAAAATAGAATTAGATTACCTGTCCGATCTATACCTTTCCAACCTAATCCCAGACTCGGTCAATAGACGGACACTACATGTAGTAGTGGCGTGAAAGGGATATCGTTTCAATATTTATTAATCCCCTTTCACTATTTCAATTCTCTTGTCGATCAGGTAACACCCGGATTTGAACTGGGGAAAAGGGATTTGCAGCTCCCCGCCTTACCACTCGGCCATGTCGCAAAAAAAATGATACAAAAAAAATATATGAATAAGAATACCCCCTATTTTCTATTGAAAAAGCAAACGTACACCTTCGGAAAGAAAGAATTTCGGGACAAATCACAACTGTTAACTATGAATTCCTGTAATTCCTTAACTATTCTTGAATTTGAATCAAAAATGGTTTTTTCTTGATGAAATCATAAAATCCGAATTAATACATAAACAATAAATCTTGGTTTTTTATTGAAAAAGGGGTAAAAATTTCTCTCTTATCTGTGAATTCGAATTCTTTTTTGAACAATTGAAAAGGTTAAGTTTCAATTGTTCAAATTTGTTTCCATTTAGATTCGAATTTAGGTTCTATCTGTTTGTTTTGGTGGAAATTCCAATTTGAGTATCAAATTCTATTTATTCCTCTCTTTTTTTAATAGGTATTTTGTACACGGAGTTGAGTAAAATTTCATGTGATTCAGTAAAAAGAACAGAAATTCCATTTTTGCTAAATCTATTCATGTGATTCGATGAAGAATAATAGCAAATCGTGATATATTTTCTATATAATATATGGGGAGATTGAAAATGCTTGGGAGTGGAAATGCGGGAATGTCCACACTACCCGAGTTGAATCAGATACAATTTGAAGGATTTTGTAGGTTCATTGATCGGGGTTTAACAGAAGAACTTTTTAAGTTTCCAAAGATTGAAGATACAGATCACGAAATTGAATTTCAATTATTTGTAGAAACATATCAATTGACAGAACCCTTGATAAAAGAAAAAGATGCCGTATATGAATCACTTACATATTCCTCTGAATTATACATATCCACCGGATTAATTTGGAAAAACAGTAGAGATATCCAAGAACAAACTATTTTTATTGGAAACATTCCTCTAATGAATTCCTGGGGAACTTTTATAGTAAATGGAATATACAGAATTGTAATCAATCAAATATTGCAAAGCCCGGGTATCTATTACCGATCAGAATTAGATCATAACGGAATTTCGGTCTATACCGGCACCATAATATCCGATTGGGGAGGGAGATTAGAATTAGAGATTGATAGAAAAGCAAGAATATGGGCTCGTGTGAGTAGGAAACAGAAAATATCTATTCTAGTTCTATCATCAGCTATGGGTTCGAATTTAATCGAAATTCTAGAGAATGTTTGCTATCCTGAAATTTTCTTGTCTTTCCTGAATGATAAGGAGAAAAAAAAAATAGGTTCAAAAGAAAATGCTATTTTGGAGTTTTATCGACAATTTGCTTGTGTAGGCGAAGATCCAATATATTCTCAATCTTTATGTAAGGAATTACAAAAAAAATTTTTTCAACAAAGATGTGAACTGGGAAGGATTGGTCGACGAAATATGAACCGAAGGCTGAATCTTGATATACCGCAGAACAATACATTTTTGTTACCACGAGATATATTGACAGCTGTGGATCATTTGGTTGGAATGAAATTTGGAATGGGTACACTGGACGACATGAATCATTTAAAAAATAAACGTATTCGTTCTGTAGCAGATCTATTACAAGACCAATTTGGATTGGCCTTGGTTCGTTTAGAAAATATGGTTCGAGGGACGATATGTGGAGCAATTAGACATAAATGGATACCGACTCCTCAGAATTTGGTGACTTCAACTCCATTAACAACCACTTATGAATCTTTTTTTGGATTACATCCATTATCTCAAGTTTTGGATCGAACCAATCCATTGACCCAAATAGTTCATGGAAGAAAATTGAGTTATTTGGGCCCCGGGGGATTGACGGGACGAACTGCTAGTTTTCGGATACGAGATATCCACTCTAGTCACTATGGACGCATTTGTCCGATTGACACGTCGGAAGGAATCAATGTTGGACTTATTGGATCCCTAGCGATTCATGCGAGGATTGGTCGTTGGGGGTCGATAGAAAGTCCATTTTTTGAAATTTCTGAAAGATCAAAAAAAATACACATCCTTTATTTGTCACCAAGTAGAGATGAATACTATATGGTGGCGACAGGAAATTCTTTGGCACTGAATCAAGGTATTCTGGAGGAACAGATTGTTCCGGCCCGATATCGTCAAGAATTTCTTACTATTGCCTGGGAACAGGTTCATCTTCGAAGTATTTTTCCCTTCCAATATTTTTCTATCGGGGCTTCCCTCATTCCTTTTATTGAGCATAATGATGCGAATCGGGCTTTAATGAGTTCTAATATGCAACGCCAAGCAGTTCCGCTCTCTCGGTCCGATAAGTGCATTGTTGGGACTGGATTGGAATGCCAAGCGGCCTTCGATTCGGGGGTTGCCACTATAGCCGAACATGGCGGAAAGATCATTTATACCGATACTGACAAGATACTTTTAGTTGGAAATAAAGATACTATAAGCATTCCATTAGTTATATATGAACGTTCGAACAAAAATACTTGCATGCATCAAAAACCCCGGGTTCGGCGAGGTAAATGCATAAAAAGGGGACAAATTTTAGCAGACGGTGCGGCTACGGTTGACGGCGAACTCGCTTTGGGAAAAAACGTATTAGTAGCTTATATGCCATGGGAGGGTTACAATTCTGAAGATGCTGTACTCATTAGTGAGCGTCTGGTCTATGACGATATTTTTACCTCTTTTCATATACGGAAATACGAAATTCAGACTCATGTGACAAGCCACGGTCCTGAAAGAATCACTAATGAAATTCCACACCTAGAAGCCCATTTACTCCGAAATTTAGACAAAAATGGAATTGTGATCCTGGGATCTTGGGTAGAGACGGGCGATATTTTAGTGGGTAAATTAACGCCCCAAATGGCGAAAGAATCATCGTATGCCCCGGAAGATAGATTATTACGGGCTATACTTGGCATTCAGGTATCCACCTCAAAGGAAACTTGCCTAAAACTACCTATAGGCGGTAGGGGTCGAGTTATTGATGTGAGATGGATAAAAAAAAGGGGGGGTTCCAGTTATAATCCAGAAACGATTCGTATATATATTTTACAGATACGTGAGATTAAAATCGGTGATAAAGTGGCTGGGAGACATGGAAATAAAGGTATCGTTTCAAAGATTTTGTGTAGACAGGATATGCCTTATTTTCAAGACGGAAGACCCATTGATATGGTTTTCAATCCCTTAGGGGTACCTTCACGAATGAATGTAGGGCAGATATTTGAATGTTCACTCGGATTAGCGGGGGGTATGCTAGATAGACATTATCGAATAGCACCCTTTGATGAGAGATATGAACAAGAGGCTTCGAGAAAACTAGTATTTTCTGAATTATATGAAGCTAGTAAACAAACATCGAATCCATGGATATTTGAGCCCGAATATCCGGGAAAAAGTAGAATATTTGATGGAAGAACGGGGAATCCTTTTGAACAGCCTGTTATAATGGGAAAACCATATATCTTGAAATTAATTCACCAAGTTGATGATAAAATACACGGACGTTCCAGTGGACATTATGCACTTGTTACGCAACAACCCCTTCGAGGGAGGGCCAAGCAAGGAGGACAACGGGTAGGCGAAATGGAAGTTTGGGCCCTCGAAGGATTTGGTGTTGCTCATATTTTACAAGAGATGCTTACTTATAAATCTGATCATATTAAAGCTCGACAAGAAGTACTTGGGACTACGATCATTGGAGGAACAATACCTAAACCTGCGGATGCTCCCGAATCATTTCGATTGCTCGTTCGAGAACTACGATCCTTGGCTCTGGACCTGAATCATTTCCTTGTGTCTGAAAAGAACTTCCGGATTCATAGGAAGGAAGCTTAATTGGACTGAATCAGCGTTCGTATTCTATGATTGATCCCTATAAATATCAACAACTCCGAATTGGATCAGTTTCTCCCCAACAAATGAGTGCTTGGGCAAAAAAAATCCTACCTAATGGAGAGATAGTTGGCGAAGTAACAAAACCCTATACTTTCCATTATAAAACCAATAAGCCTGAAAAAGATGGATTATTTTGTGAAAGAATTTTTGGGCCTATCAAAAGCGGGATTTGTGCTTGTGGAAATTATAGAGTAATTGGAGATAAAAAAGATGATCCAAAATTTTGTGAACAATGCGGAGTCGAATTTGCGGATTCTCGGATACGTAGATACCAAATGGGTTATATAAAACTGGCATGCCCAGTAACCCATGTGTGGTATTTGAAACGTCTTCCTGGTTATATCGCGAATCTTTTAGATAAACCTCTTAAAGAATTAGAAGGTCTAGTATACTGCGATGTGTGATTTGATCGAAATCCTTTTTGTACAGATTTCGGATGAGAAACTGTCATCCCATTCAATTGAATTGGGATGTCCTGGATCTGACATGTCTCTTGGGATAAGTAACATGAAGCTCAGAATTATGGGTGTATTGAATACTCCCAAGAAAAAAGGAAGAATTGGTCTATGGTCGATTCAGTAACAAATAAATATTAATTTTTATTGGTACGTACCTCGTGAAAAAAAAAAAGACTTTTTTGTGTAATTCACTATTCCAGCTATTTTTGAAAGAACTCAAAATATGTTCAAATAAGCAAACATATCATGGTTTAAAAGTAGTCTATACATCGCATATAGGCTTAAGTAAGGACATTGTGAAATAACCATGTGACATAACCATCGAGGTGAAGTTTGGACCTAAAAGATCGAATGGAATGATATATAGACAAGGAAATCTCTTATGAATTCCAGGATATTCCTTTCATTAAAAAGAATTAATAATAAGAATTCAATTTAACGGGATTCCACATTCGAAAGGGGACAGACTACTCAAGAATTTTTTATCCACTTCTCAATTACGACAGAAACAAAAAGAAAAATGGGGCGACGAAATGTTGCTTTGTTTTTATGTATAACTTGAGTAAAGAGTAAACCTTTTATTTTAGATTTTAGGTTTTATAGAATTTGAAAGCGGAAACCACTTTTTTTATTTTTATTTGGTGTAACTAAGCCGGATGAAGGTAGACCTTCACATCCGATTTTGAAGGGGGGAGATCCGATTGGATCCTATCCAAATTTTTCGTTTGCTAGACCTATTGTTAAAAAACCCACTTTCTTACGATTACGAGGTTCATTCGAATATGAAATTCAATCTTGGAAATATAGCATCCCGCTTTTTTTTACTACGCAAGGTTTCGATACATTTCGAAATCGAGAAATTTCTAGTGGAGCTGGCGCTATCCGAGAACAATTATCCGATCTGGATTTAAGACTTATTATTGATTCTTCGTTGGTAGAATGGAAGGAATTAGGAGAAGAGGAATTTACGTACAATGAAAATGAATGGGAAGATAAAAAAGTTGGAAGAAGAAAGAGTTTTTTGGTTCGACGCATGGAATTGGCTAAACATTTTATCCGAACAAATATAGAACCAGAATGGATGGTTTTATCTTTCTTACCTGTTCTTCCTCCTGAATTGAGACCTATTATTCAAATAGATGGGGGTAAACTAATGAGTTCGGATATTAATGAACTCTATCGAAGAGTTATCTATCGGAACAATACTCTTATCGATTTATTAACAGCAAGTAGATCTACGCCTGGGGAATTAGTAATGTGTCAGGAGAAACTGGTACAAGAAGCCGTGGATACACTTCTAGATAATGGAATCCGCGGACAACCAATGAGGGATGGTCATAATAAGATTTACAAATCGTTTTCAGATATAATTGAGGGCAAAGAGGGAAGATTTCGCGAGACTCTGCTTGGCAAACGGGTAGATTATTCGGGGCGTTCTGTCATTGTCGTGGGTCCATCACTTTCATTACATCGATGTGGATTGCCCTGCGAAATAGCAATAGAGCTTTTCCAGACATTTGTCATTTGTGGTCTAATTCGAAAACAATTAGCCTCAAATATAGGGGTTGCGAAGAGTAAAATTCGAGAAAAAGAACCAATTGTATGGGAAATACTTCAAGAAGTTATGAAGGGACATCCCGTGTTGCTGAATAGAGCACCCACTCTGCATAGATTAGGCATACAGGCTTTCCAACCCATTTTAGTACAAGGGCGTGCTATTTGTTTACATCCATTAGTTTGTAAGGGATTCAATGCAGATTTTGATGGAGATCAAATGGCTGTTCATGTGCCTTTATCTTTTGCGGCTCAAGTAGAAGCTCGTTTACTTATGTTTTCCCATACGAACCTCTTGTCTCCAGCTATTGGGGATCCCATTTCCGTACCAACTCAAGATATGCTTATTGGGCTTTATGTATTAACTAGCGGGAATCGTCAAGGTATTTGTGCGAATAGGTATAATCCGTCCAATCGCAGAAACCTTAAAAATGAAAGAATTCGCGATAATAACTATAAGTATACGAAAAAAAAGAACCCCTTTTTTTAATTCCTATGATGCAATTGGAGCTTTTCGACAGAAAAGAATAAATTTCGACAGTCCTTTGTGGTTCCGATGGAGACTAGATCAAAGGGTTCTTTCCTCAAGAGAAGCTCCTATTGAAGTTCATTACGAATCTTTAGGTACCTATCGTGAAATTTATGGACATTATCTAGTAATAAGAAATATAAAAAGCCCAAAGGGAAGAGAAGAAAGACACAAAGGAAAAGAAAGAGAGAGAAGACAGACTCAGAAACGCAAGAAAGAAATCGAAGAAGAAAAAAACCCTAGCATCGTGCAACCAAACCCAAGTTCCAGCCGACAAAATCCATATCATCCATGCCCAACCCTTGCCACAAATCGACCCATACGATCAGATCGTCTTCTTCTCACCGTTCATCCGTCCAAATTAACCCACATCCACGGTCCATTAAGAAAAGACAACAAGAAAAAAAAAACCTAGCCCTTACTTTTGGTTCAGAAAAAGCCAAACCAAAATCCGTTACTCAGTGGAGGTTGGAGCCTACGTTGCACGGACACGGACACGGGACACGGGACTCGACACGACACGACACGGCGACACGTTAATTCTAAAAAATGTTAGATTTCGACACGTTAGGACACATTTTGATATTAAATAATATTTTTAATAAATATAATACAGTTTATATTTAATACATCTAACAACTCATAATAAATTAATTACATTGTACTTAGAAATTGTTTTACATATAAATTAAGCTAAGTTAATTATATAAAAAAATTCTAAACTATAAAATAAATCAAAAATTAAACAATACGAAAAATATACCAAAAAGAAATCAGAATTAAAAAAAGCCCAAAAGAAAAATAAGGAAAGCAATAAATAAGGGAGATAAAAAATTAAAAATAAAAAGAAACAAAAAAATAAAAAGTAGAAAACGCACACCGTTCAATGTCGTCTTGTGACACCGCTGTTGAGATCCACTTGCTGTTGAGATCCATTTCCATTTTTTCATCTTCATGTCCAAAATCTGAGCTTGCTCCTTGTCTATTCAAATCCAATTCGTATTCAATACATGCTTCTTGCTTGCTCGCTTTCATCTTCTCCCTGGTGCTTGCTCCTTGCTCAAAATCTGAGCTTTCAGTTTCAGTAGCGTTGTGTTCTTCTTCTCATGCTCGAAGGAGGGTATGATTCCATCGTCGATGTCAACGTTGCCGGAGAGTATGAAAATGGAGGTGAGGTGGTGGCGTTCTGCCCTGTTCTCCACCGGAGTCGCAGGCAACACCGTCAAGTTGGGTTCCCAATTTTTTTATTTTAAATTTATTTTAATTTTATAAAAGTTTCAAAAAATTTACATTTCTACCCTTTGACCGTGTCTGATATGGTCAAAGTCGCGTGTCGGGATAGTCAACGTGTCCTAAAATATTGACCACGTGTCGAACGCGTGTCAGAGCGTGTCCGTGTCCGACACGCATTTTTCTTAAAAAATACCGTGTCCGTGCTTTGATGGCTGGAGCGATTGTAAGCGCAAGTTTACGTACGAGTTGCAGGAGCAACAATTCCATCCAGGTTGTCTGAGCAAAGGAGGGAGCTGCTGGGGACCATCTGCCTGCAACGCGCGAGAAGCGCGTGACACCTGCTGAGCTGGAGAGGAAAATCGTGCAAAGAAAGAAATGAACCCTATAAAAAGGGAAAGAGGAGTGAGTCATAGTCTCGGTTCTTCCCTCTCTGGTTCTGATTTACTGTTTTTAGTTTTATTGTTTTCTGAACAATTTTTATTTTATCTTCTTTTAAGTTCTGTTTTGTAATGAGATTCTGGTTCATCTGATGAACTTGATGCATGTCTTTACAGCACTGAGATTGCCGGTTGTTAGGCCAGTGCTGTAATTTAGTTTCTAGCATTTTTATTTTGTGATTTCTTTAGTTTTCTGTTACTGTTTGTAAGCCTCATCCCTATGGATAGTGGCTGACTTTTTAGAGGTTGGGTTTAGGTGATACCCAAACTTCAGTGCTTGTTAAATGTTTGGTTTTTTGGTTATAATTTTTATATCTCAGTTGTTTAATGCTTTTTCTAATGTTTAAAATTATCTGCATTTTGGCCGAATGTCAGAGGTTTGGTTAGGATTTAGTTGTTGAGAACCAACTAACTCTGGAATCTGCATTAGACACATGGAGTTAGATGAGAAATCATCTAAGGGATCTCATTTCAGAAATGAATGAGACCTCATATAATATTAGACCTGAGTCTCAAGAGTCCTAATCCCACTTGGCATAGAGATATGGAAGTGGGCAACTTTGGGATAAAATAATTTTTAAGAGATTAAAATTAACAATACAGTTCTGTTAACTGAGAATCTTAGGATGAGCTTTTTGTTAATCAAATTATTTTTCAAGCACTGTGGGGAAGGAGAGCCAGAACTCAACCCACCTTTTTGAACATCCTTATCAACTCAAATTTCCAATTTCCTTTGTTATTTCATATTTCAATCTCTGTTCTGTTTCAAATTTTAAATACAAAAAAAAATCTTGTCACATCTGTCATTTAAGTTGCTTCATTCTTACTGCTTATTTTATAACTTAGGAAAGTAATTCATAAAATTCTAAAGAAAAGTGAACAGTAGTGTTTTAGGTCCATTCTAGATTATTTATACTTTACAATTTTTTTATTTCTTTTATTTTCAAATAGTAATTCAGTTTTAAGCAATTACAAATGTTAGTCACTTCAAAACACTTCAAAACGCCAACAATCCTTGTGGGAACGATAACTGTGACTTATAACAGCCCTATATTACTTGTTGTCGCGTATACTTGCGCGCATTACTTGCACAACTGTTAGCAAGGCAACACACTACATCAATCAGGTTCTCTAGTGTGCAGTTGTTGTCTAAAATGTTTCTCTAGAGTTCTTGTTTTGCATCTTTGAAGGGACTTACTGGTTTAGCTCCTTTTGAGTTAATTTTTACTTGTTTTTGGCGGCATATTCTTAGGATGGGCGTCTCAATGCATTATATTCAACACCATCAATCTACACTGATGCAAAATATACAGCTAATGAGCAATGGCCTCTTAAGACTGATGATTTCTTCCTGTGAGTTTTTTCTTTGGATACTTTAGTTCTATATGTTTGGAGTGAGAGTTAAGGAGGGGGAAGGGAAGAGTGACTCAAACCTTTGAAAGATTTTTAATGATGGGAAGGGAAGGGAAGGGAAGGGGAAATGTTATATTTTAAAATTAAAAAGGGGATTAACTGTCGTTTATCCTACTTTAACTTTAACTTGCAAAAAAGAGGAAGAGAGTTCCCTTCCTTCCCTTAAACATCCAAAGAAGGGTGCTGAGGTAATACAGCTATTCATGAGCATTCACCTCACAAGTAGTTTAGAGAGCTCAATTTTGAATTCAAGGAACAAAATTTCAGGTATGCAGATCACCCAAATGCATATTGGACTGGTTATTTTACAAGTAGGCCAGCTTTAAAGGGTTATGTGAGAGTAATGAGTGGTTACTATCAGGTAAAATCTTGGCCTCTTTTACTTTATGAGGTAATTTGTTATATTCTTGTGAGCTCTCATGACTCGTTTTTCCTTGTTTGGGCAACATTTATTGCTTTATTGTTGACATTTAGGCAGCAAAGCAATTGGAATTTTTTAAAGGATGGAATAAATCAGGACCAAATACTGATGCATTAGCTGATGCTTTAGCAATTGCTCAGCACCATGATGCCGTTAGTGGCACAGAAAGACAGCATGTTGCTGCTGATTATGCAAAACGATTCTCAATGGGCTTTGCTGAGGTGCATATTAATAATTTTCTTTTTAATTGTTGATATCATAAATGTAAACTTAAAAGATCTACAATTTTTTGATTTGCAGGCATAAGGGTTGGTTTCATCTGCACTTGCTTTCTTGGTAAAAAAGATTAAGTTTGCATGGGGTGAACCTAGTGACAGACTTCCAGCAGGCAATGTACTATATACATAGAAAAAGTTCTTTCAGATTTCGATGGAAGAATCCATCTGCTAGTCTGTTACATTTTGCCTTGACAGTCAATTAAAAATCTAACATAAATGATTTGATTTTAGGTTAGCTGCCAAATTTGTATCAGCAACATAAACTCATCCCCAAACTCCCCCACCCCATGGAGGAAAAAAAGCTACACAGTCTTTGCATCAATCTTTCTAACCTGACAAGGGTTCCTATTTTTTCTTTTCGGTCCATAATAAAAATTATATGCATGAATAGGAGAGGATTGAGCCTACTGCATCTATTTTCTGTTTATATTAAATTCTGGTACATTCTTTTGTTTATGCAAGGGGATATTAATAAATATTATGGTGTCCCACCATTCTTTCAGGTTAATTTAGGAATATACATGCAAGATAGCAGTATGGGACTCTCAGTGTTGGTGGACCGCTCAGTTTGGGGTTCAAGCTTGGTAGATGGTCAATTAGAGCTGATGCTCCACAGGTTGGTTATATTTCTCATTCATCCCTATTGATGTCAAGTTCTAGTTGCTTTTGCAGTTTACTATATAGGATATAAATAATGAATGATGGCTGACATTTCCTTTATATTCAAGTTCTAGTTGCTTCTAGTTGGTTATAATCTATGATTTGCTTTATATTTTTCTAGGAGGTTGCTTCATGATGATGCCAAAGGTGTTGGTGAGGCACTCAATGAAACAATTTGCGTTGCTGAAAACTCTGATGTGTATTTACCTCATTTTTTCTCTGATGTGTATTTATTGTTTTTATGAACTTTTACAGGAATTTGAAAATGGAAAAGTACTCCTAAGATTGGCTCACCTTTATGAGGTGGTAATTATGTCACTGATTTACTGGTAATAATCTTTGCTTCTTTCTTAAAGACTTGAACTGTCGTTACAAAATAATCTGCTAACTTTTGCTTTTGCATAGGTCATTGTGCACGACTTCTGTCTAGCATTCTTAACCATGATTGTGATTTGTTTTGCTTCCTATGCTATATAATCACAAATGCAAACATGCATGCGTTTCTATCAAAGTAATGGAAATATAGTAATATATAAATATTTATATATGTAACTGTTAGAGATCAATAGCAGTTAGTCCATGCAACCAACTACAGAGGTAAGTTAAAACATGCAAGGAAATTTTACAATCTAGCTCTCAATGAATTATGATATTTGTCATGCATAAAGAGGAGTCTGTAGGATGGACAACTTCTTCTTCCATCAGCTTTATCAGCTATCAAATATTTGTTTTCCATCCAGACATCAAATATCATATATTCTTGAATTGATGTTTGGTGGGTATTTATTGCATGTTAAGATTGGAGAGGACAAATATTACTCTGTAACGGCAAGTGTGGAATTGAAAAAACTGTTTCCTAACAAGAAGGTAAGAGTGATACCTAACTACTGAAGCTACTTTTTCTCATACATCATTATAGTTTCATTTTAACAACTCGGAATTTTCAGATAAGTAAAGTGAGAGAGATGAGTTTGTATGTGTTTCGGATGGCCCAAGCACTGGAGCGGCCCAGTTACTCAGGCCCAATCCTCAGCCTTCTTCTGCGTCAGCCCTTAGGGCTGACGTGGACCCTCACGATCTTCAAGACTGCAGCACGTCTAAAAGATACACCAAAATGTCCCACTTTGGGACATTAACCGCTAAAGGCAGTCACCATAAGCACTGCAAAGGAATCTGCCACTTTGCTCAGTGCTGACATCGCCTGATGCAGTGGGTGCAGCGCTGCCATTGTGGCAGCGCCAACTGCGCCTAACACTGCCATCAGGGGAACACATCCCAAGGAGGGCTGACCCCCACCTCACCAACCCACACCATTTTCCTTATAAATAGCCCTCATGGGCACAGCAGGAAGAGGATCTTTTATGTACTGTATTTATGCCCATTTACTCTTAAGTCATACCCTTACTATTTGTCTACCATTGATATCTGCTTGCTTGTTCTTGGAATAATACCTTCTAGCCTGGTCATTACCTCAGCTAGAGGTACCATCCATATAACAACATTACCCTCAAAGGGTACATAGTGGGCTCACAGAACCAAACGGTACATTGGCGCCGTCTGTGGGAAAAGATAAACTTCTATTCCCATTCTCTTACCCAAAGATCCATTTGACGGGTCATTTCCTCTTACTAACAAACAACCGCCAGACGCTTTTTACAACTCTACATGGTTGTCACCACCAGGAGAGCGGAGCACGCCAGGGCCATGACGCCAGAAGGACACGTACAGACAGTACAACCAAGCTCCCCTCCATCCATGCATTCGACCCCAGCCGAGCGGACCGCTGGAGAAGTCCAACCTCCTGTACTACAGACCATAGGCCCACAGTTGCCAACGAATGATGCTAGGATCGTCCTGCAACATCATCAAGCACCCATGTGCGAGATGCAGGGAGAAAATGTAGTCCTAAACCAGCCACCTCCCCCCGGAGTCCATTTTGGAATGCCATTTCCAGCAGTTGTCCCACGACCTGCCTATCTCACCCGTCCTCCGTTACCAGCCCAAAGTCAACCACTGCCAGTATACCATGACCGCCAGATACCCATGGTCGCCCCATACCTTCATAGGCCATACACGCCTAACGTGGCTTTTCCTTTTCAACTACCTCACCAAGCTGGTTTCCCTTTCCATGGCTACGCTATGCAACCCCATAACGCAGCCGTTCCACAACCTCAGGCATCTTGCCCGAATCCTAACCAACAACCATATGATGCTCAGCAAGCTTTCCACCAAGCCCCAGCCCTCTCCTACTCCGTTGAAGCCCCACAAATGCCTCGTCCACAACGAGAACATATCAGAGTAACGCCTGCCCACACGTCAGGGCGTAACAAGCCTTTGACCGATAGCCTGAGGCTAACTCCCATACCCCTGGGTTTCAAGG